ATGTAGCCTGACAACACCAAGTGCTTTCTCATATGCTTATACATGCAGTTAAAGTCTAGTCCTCCAACATATACATAAAACAGTATGAAAATTCTACATATTCTTGCTCAGAAGGGGGTATCTGCTTTTGACACTCCTAATACTACAGGATGATTTCTCTGTATAGAAATAATATAGTGCAAGAATGTAAAAAGACAGTTTTGGAACTGCACATATGGGGATGAGCGGGCACTTTTTTCCTACCCACTAGTCATTTTATATGTGAAAAGAACACAGAATCTAAGACCAGAAATCTTCCTGTAAAATCTGAGTGAATGGCTGAAGCATAGGAGCAGGGTTAATACTGAGAAGAATGTACAATGAACTGAAAAGTTAAAACCTTTTATCCTGAAAGCGCAGGAATGTAGAAGCACAAAAGCTTCTTCTGTCTCCCTCACCCTATGTGAGGTGCGAACACACTACCTGTTTTTAAAACCACTAAATTAATCTGGTTTTCTACTAAAAGAGTTCTAATTTTTTTTTGTGGAAAGACCTCAACTCTTAAGAACAGATACTTGTTATGGAAACTGTGGGTAACTCCAAACTCTAAAGATATTTCCTAGGGTAACCCACCCACGTGTTCAAGAAAAGAGGATGCAACTTTCAAGGAAAAGGAGAAGGTGGGTTTTTTTTTAACTGATACACTGCTGAGTAGCTCTTTGCTCTATAAAGCAACAAAATCAGCAACACTATTACATGGAGAACCAGAATGGTCAGCTGATTTGTTTAAGGTGTTAAAGGCCTTAAACTAATGAAACTGGCAGAAAATCAGACCCTTGAGAGTTTGTTACACGGTACATAAATATGAAATGCAAGCAAACTTATATGTGTAGCTGTTTGCCAGAAAACAGAAATCAGCTTTATTTGTTTGGAAACACAAAAGACCTGGTACTATATGGAGATTAGCATTTAAAAAAATGTCAGCATGTTAAACTGAAACACATGCAGACAGTGTCCCAAAACTATTGTAGTATAGAGCATTTTGATGAGACATCTACAATGCAGCCTCACAATAATAATACAGTTTATGTTGCTAATCCAGATGTAAATATAAATAAGTATTTCTACAATATGAGATGACTTCCCGGGTCTGTTTATCTTCCAATAAAAACAAGTAATTCCATGAAACTTCAACTTGGTGAATTCTCTTCCACTGTTCTTGATGTATTTCTGTTAAGATAACTTTATTACTGCTTTAGCTATGAGTAGTTATTCACTTGAAGTTATTACAACTTTCCACTGTTTTTAATATTCTAATGGAATACTATTAGCTGTTACTTCAATCCACTGTCTCATTTTCTTCAAGCAACTACGCTTTCATATAGCAGCTTTAAGTTCTGGCATCAGTCTTAATACTCTGCAACATTTAATACATAGTCTTAAAGACTGCCAACCTGCTTCCTTTGACTTTTCTATATATTTCACATGGCAGAATTCTTGTCTTTAATTCTATTATTTACCCTAATTAATTTCTGTAACAGCAGTATTGTGGTTAAAACACTATCCAGATAATGCTCAAATGTTCCTGTGCAAGATCAAGCTCCCAAAGCCCCTACACTTACACAAAAATCAGATGCTTCAAGAGTAAAATAAGGACTGAGGAACATAGACACTGAGAAGGACATGTAGCTGTATGCCTTGGATCAAGTATCTCATGATTTCAAATCAACAGCTACCACCGGGTGAATTAATCTTTGTGAGTGAAACAATTAAAGCATCTTAAGGGAAGCATCCTGCAGCTCCAAAGGCATTTCTATTTCAGCTCATCAGTGCAGCACACCTTCTACTATCTAGTTGCTCTCAAGTGTTATCCACATTATACCTGCAGGGCTGGAATGAACGTTTTATGCATCTACGGTTAAGTTTGGACACTGAAAAGCAAATGTGATTATCAGCATTAACCATACCATTTCGCAGCATTTTACGTTTAGGAACTCCAGTTTTAAAAACATTCTCTCTATGTAATCAGATGCTTGAAATCGTTCCTGAGGAACTGATCTGGAGAGTTTCTGCTTTTATTTCAATTTTGAAAAAATGCCCCCTGTAGATCACTATCCTCATTCATTTATAATTCTCAATTATATTTTGATTAACAATTTCTTTCCCTCATTCAGTCTTGCAGTGCCCTGTAATTGGCAATCCATTGTTCTTTGGCACTGTATCTATAAGCCGGCCATGGAACGCATTTATTTCCTCACCTTGGTGGCTGTGGTAACAGCATACATCTGAATAACCATCAGATTTGCTAAAACTTCTTCCAGGCAGACTGAAATGAAACTGGCATTGTCTGGAATGTATCTAATTAGGAATGCAAATGCATCCTTACTCAAAAAATTAATGCCAGGATTTCCTCAGCACTCTCTCTGTGCTGGCAGTCAGTATCTCAAAGGGATGGTAGAGTAGCTGAATATCAATTCACCAAACCTCCAAAAAACCCTTGCATGACAGTGTCTGAATAATGGTATTCATTAAGTAGAAAGCTGCACATGTCCCTTTAAATGAATAAATTTCTTTTTGATCTCCTGAGCTTTTGTGAGGACTCTGCAATTGCTGTGCTGTTGAATACAATCAAATATAGCTGAATGCACTTCAAGTTACATTGATTTCTGAGGCAAACACATACATTGTTTTGGATAATGAGATGTTCGGCACAGGTGGAGGCAGGCTCAGAACTTCAGTTCACAAGAGGAGGAGCATCTGCTCTTTGCTACCCGCAGCTTCAGGTACGGCCAACAAGGTAATTTCTGGTAACTTTTGCTTCTTCTTGCATTGTCAAATTGCACTTGCAAAGCAGAAGTGGAAGATGGCACTGACTAATTAATCTTCATATTAATACTGTCAATTTAGGTGTGGTGCAATGACTTACACTTTTACAGATGCACTATGCACTTCCACTGTACACATACACTGTGAACTTACGAGTTATGCATACGTGCAGTCTCTTTCAGGTGAAAGTATTTTCCCCTCATGCTTCAGAAAGTAGTACAGGGGGATAGAGCATCCTTTCCTTTTTTGAGTGACTGTCCACATATATATACACATCACAGAGGACTATAAGAATATATACTCAGAGCTTCCCACAGAGCAGTTTCTGTGACTTCATAGAAACTGACTGAAGCTTTGTTACACTCCTCAGTGAATTTACCAAAAATTAATCTCTAAAAAAGTAGTCAGTCATGATCAAGCCCAAGAAGTCTGAACATATAGAAGACTCAGATCTCACTGAGGAACAGAGAGAAACAACTTTGTAATCTTAAAAAAAAACCCAAAAAACAAAAACCCAGAGTCCCTGAGTTACTAAGAGAAGACAGGACAAGCAACAGAGGCATTGAATGAAGCTTACCTGATCTAGAAAAAAAATTGATGTCCTAACCAAAACTCTTAGCCTGTGTTCACTGAAACAGGAACTGATCAGAAGACCTACAGAGGATCAATCTCAGTCTGGTTTGTTTTGCCAGGTAACTGCAACTCAAATATCCTTCTAGAGGCAAGATACATGTTTCAGGATCTCTCTTCAGTATATAAAAAATTTTGTAATTGAAAACTGCAATAAGGATGAGACATGTTAAAGATTTTGCAGATTGGAATTCCTACTGAAAGGGTGTAACTTATACACCACAATACATTAAGACTCACTAATGCATATTAGAATCATAGAATGGTTTGGGCTGGAAGGGACCTTTAAAGGTCATCTAGTCCAAGCCCTCTGCAAAGAGCACTGACATCTTCCACTAGACCAAATTGCCCAGACTCCCATCCAGCCTGACTGTGAATGTTTCCAGGAGGGGGTATCTACTGCTTCTCTGTGCAACTGTCCCAGTGTTTCACCACCCTCACTGTAAAATATTTCTTCCTTGTATCTAGTCTGAATCTATCCTCCTGGTTTAAAACCATTCCCCTTTGTCCTATCCCTACAGGCTGTACTAAAAAGTAGGCCCATCTTTCTTGTAAGCCCCCTTTCAGTACTGGAAGGCTGCCCTGGAGCCTTCCTTTCTCCAGGCCGAGTAAACTCAGCACTCTCAGCCTTTCCTCATAGGAGAGGGGCCCCTTCACTGTTTTTTGCAGCCCTCCTCTGAACTCACTCCAACTGGTTCACGTCTTTCCTGTGCTGAGGACTCCAGGACTGGATGCAGTACTCCAGGCAGGGTCATACCAGAGTAGAGCAGGGGGACAATTACCTCCCTTAATTTGCTGGTCATGATAGCCTGTAATATTTTTTTATATTTAAAAGAAAGTTGAAATCTGTTTCTTTCTTTCAACTGAAAAGACAGTGCAGCAGACAAGCTTCCTTTGAAAAATGTATCTCCGTTTTTATTAGTGCTTAATTTTGTTTAAAAATAAATTGCTGAGTGTATAGATAGTGCAGCTGAGTCATTTTATCATTTGAAATGGGATTTGTGGGCTGAAGATATCTGGGGGAAATTCTACATAAAACTCTATTTCAGATTTTAAAAATAAGGTGTTCTGAAGCATCTTCTTGAACTTTTGGGAAGCACCAGGATTGGTGATTGAGATTATGTAAGACTGATAGAGATTATGTAAAACTGATAGAAATCAGGCTGTTAAGTGTGTGAAGCTGACAAAACTTCAAAAGGAGATTATCAGGATCACCTTAATCTCTGTTCCTATATTCCACTAAATAAGGTGAAAGTTGAAGAATTACAAACAGATTTTGGTTTGTAGTCACAAGTTGATAATTAATGAAGTGAATGAAGATCTCTACCAACAAAATAAAAATAAGTATTTTTAAAGAACAAAGCACGTTTTAATGCAACATTGTAATCTAGTACTCAATGCAACTCTAGTCTTCTTGAACTATAATCATGTCTGTTTCACTGTAATCCAGATTTCCCAGACCAGTTCAATCTGGATAGGAGTTTACACAGTTCTAAGTTACCCTGAAAATTCCCTGATGTCCTGAACTATCTTAGAAATGAATATTTAATAAACAAAAACCTTACCCGAATCATCATGACTGAGCATCTGATGTTATGAATTGTATCATACACCTTCTTAGAAATGTCCACAAACTGGTTATCATCAAAAAGATGCACTGTGTTCTTGCTTAAGCTCTCCAATGCAATATTTACTTGATTTATAAACTCTGGAATCACTGTTCAAAAAACAAAACACAAACAAAATTCAGTGAGCATTAAAAAGATAAACCATGTAATTGTAATTGGATTTACCAAGGCAGTTTACCTTGTTTGACTGAATCAAACAGATCATAATTTTTGCTATTAACTTGTACTTGTCAGTTTGATATTAACTTGTACTTTACCCACAATGTCCTGGCCTTATTTTGCATAGTGACCTGGTATGACTATATCTCTCTTGATCATCAATTGCAAGCAAAGTAAACCCAACACACAGAATATAGAGAGAAGAGAGAGCACAGCTGGAAAATCCATCACACAGAGAAGGACCTCAAATAAGTACACATCAAGCTCATTTGCAACAACTGAAGACAGAAAAAATGGAAAGTAAAGGGGCATAACTCAACTCCTGCAATATTCAATATGAATAAGAACGGAACATGGAACAGAAGCTTTCTCAGGCAATGTGCTGGTTTCAAACACAAGTATAATATGTGTTCAGTCCCTTCCTCCACTATTATGTACTATGTAATTCATAAATTCATACCACATGAAAGCAGTACTACCAATACCTTAATTACAAACCACTTCAGGAAAATTTTGAAGTATGTAATAAATTTTTATACTGACAAAGCTTCAAAGTCAGCAAGCTATCTGAATTAGAAAACCTGTAACACATACTTTAAATATTAGGAAAGATGACTCAATAATGCTTTAACCCCTAACTTTACACGGAGAAACCCACACAACGCTTGGAGACATTAGATTCACTCAAGTTACAGCAATTTCACTGTATTCAAGCTCAGTTATTTCTCTCTAGAATTCAGAACAGTTACTTCATGTGTCAGTTCTTAGAAATATCAAACTTCAGTTAACTCAGTGCCAGTGGGAAAAATCATCTTCTTCTGTAAAACTGGTCTCCACAAATGTGAGACAAGTAGGTGCCATTTAATTTGAAAAGTATTATAGTTAAAATCCTTTCTTCCCTCTTCCAATTATCACTTGAATCACCCTGCTTTCTAAAAACGTCAGTGGGAAAAACAGATTCCTTAAATAGTATTGATAAAAAGACAAGGTACATTTTTCATTAGCAAACAAATTAGGGAGAGCAGCATCTATTTATTCAGTGCTTTCTGGGAAAACAACCAAACAACCCCACCAAAACAAACAAACAAAGCCACAAAGAAAAACAACCAAACAAAACCCCACAACTCACAAATATACAATTTCAGAACTTTTTTTTTTTCTCTGTTAAACAAAGATCTTGGCCCCTAGACTATCAAAATAATTGCAACTGTGGCAGCTTTGAACTGGTCCATCACCTTATACATTTACATAAACATAAACATTCAGCTCTTCACATCTGTTGTAAAACTGCTGCAAAGGAGAATGTAAGAAGCTTCCAGGAATTCAAAATTTCCATTGGTATACTGAAAACCATGAGGTGTTTCCCACAGTCTCATACACCCTCACTTCTCAGTACATTGTATGTCATATAGTGCAGTACTGTAAAGCACAGACTTCCTGCTTACCAGCAGCATTTTCAGCGACTACTAACTACCTCCAGCCCTCTTTTACAGGACAGACTATTTCTTCTCATTTATCTAGTCAGGTTCTATCTTGATGCCATACGCTTGTTAATGGCCTTTTTACAACTCCTTCTGAGACCAAACTCATCACAGTGTATTTGTTTGTCTGAATGAATACATTGCCTATGAAAAAGGATTTTACCCAGATACATACTCTATAGGTCGTATTCCACTGGTTGAGTCAGTGCTAAACCACAGGATGCACTTGATTATAGAAATATGATCTCAGTGGCTTCACTTTGGAAACATTTTTAAGATGGTTGCTTTTCATCAATATAATTTTTAGACACTGACAATTAAACCACAAGACTAAACTGTAATTCTAAAATACGTGCATAACAATCTGCTAATGAAGTATAAAAGTACACTTCAGCTGTTATATGATTATAAAATAGTTCTTATTGTTTCATCATTTACCTTTTATCTGATTGGATAATTCCCTTAAATACAAGATTTTTCTTGACTGCATGGAATTTATTTAATTTTTACGTTCCCAACCAAATGACTACTTAAAAAGAGTTTTCAGTGGGCATACGAGTTCTTATCCATGGATCACTGGCATTCAAAAATACTTTATAATCCTCTAATAGTCCAGGCACCACTATGAAATACTACATTAAGTGGAGCAGAATTACATTAGCATGCATCTTTGCTGTATTCTGTTTTACTTTTCTAGGTGGCCTAAATACAGCAAAGTGGATATAAATATAAACAGACTGGACAAGATTGATTTTTACAATCTTTCAAAAGCAAAGAAAAACAAACTGAGTTGTAAGTAAAATGAAAAATTGCAAGCGTTATACAGTTGAGAAGTAGTATTAGTTTTTTTTATGATTTTAGTATTAAAAGATTTTGGAAGAAAACTTCAAATTTTTATTTTTGCCTTCCCACCCCCCAGTGGAAACATGAACATCTCTAATCCTGCCTCTCCTGAAGGAGAAGGAGTGGAAAGGAGAAGGATATTTTGGCAAATACCAATACCACTCATAAGTGTCATGTTAAAAGTCTCCAAACCAACTTACAGATTTCACACCACCAAACCACGTTCTGCAATCTTCTTGAAATTAAGTTTATTTATTTTAAAATTCATCATTTCTTACCTAATTCTTCTCTTGTTTTAAACAAAAAATACTATTTGGCTTTCTTTGTAGGCCATGTCTTTTTAGACCTTGATACCATAAAAGCTGGCAATTTAAACTCTAAGATTTGTGATGCTGAGGTCTTAGAAAGCAGGCATTCTTTATTGCAGCACTGGAGACATGGGTGATTCTTCCACCTAACATGTCTACCTGGTGTTCCCAAAGCAAGCATTATATGGTAATAATACAAATATATTCATTAAATTTCCTGGAAAAGTCATATGTATATCTATTTAAATCAAGCATGACAAGTTCATTAGATTTCATGGAAAAGTTATGTGTATATTTAAATAATGTCTTGAATCTCATTAATAATATTTTTCTTTTATCAAAGTTTATCAGAGTTCACTTCAACAGAGCCTAGGCCAACGCCCTTTGTTTCTATCTTGCTTACAGGGACGCCTATTCTTCTCCTACTTAAACATTTTCTGTTATCTAAACTGCTTAGCATAGAATGTGCAGCTCAGTTCATTATCTGCCAGGCTTAGCCCAGTCCATAAAGATTAACCCTTTAAGGTCCAAGCAAGTTGAGTATCAACTTCTAATACGTTTCTTATCTTCAAACAAAAACAACTAAGGAATCCTGTTTGTAGTTTAATATCTGTCACAGCCCAGCTCTTAATTGAGGCTAGCACATCTATATGTCACAATCACATTAGGTAATACAGAAAAGTAAGCTTCACTAATCATTTTATTCCAGTTGGCGACTCTGTTGCTTTTAGTAACAGATTCATCAGGACAACTGCTTTTCAACTTTGCAGAAGGCCAGGGACAACAGATGAAAACATGAGCCATTCTACTTTTAATGAAGTCATGTTAAGTGATTACCATCACTTCATCAGTGATCAACACAGCTTGATACTGAAAAAGCAACAGTCTCCACAGCTAAAATGTCCACAGGTATGCAACACTCCCTCTAAAGAATGCCTTAAGAAAATGAATATAACAGACATGGACAGACATGACCTCCTACTACTGATAAAAAAAAAAAAAAAAGAATTATTTTCATTCATTTATTAAAAAGAAATCAAAATGTTTATGATTTTTAATTGGGGAGGAAAAAAATCACAACAAACCCCTTGCTTCATTTATTTGACAAGGAGAGGGAACAAACAGGAAGCATCTTCATAAAAAAATAAACACAGATTACTTATTTTCCATCTTTCTTATACTCAAGCACTGAAACAGGACTATTTGGTATTCTGACATCCCTACAGGACAACCCCCAGGTCCCATCCCTTGTGCTTATTATGCTGGAATTATATAGGCAGGGCATTTTTCTCCCTTGCAGTTCCTCTCAAGTCAGAATGCCACAGTTTCTCTAAGGATGTCAAGGGAGAGCAGATGTGGTGGATTACTGAATGAACATATACACAATTTATCTCAAAAAAATTAATTTGTTTAAAGTAGCTAAACTTTCAACTTCTATGTTTTTCTCTATGTATAAACACCGTGAGCAACTTACTGTATAATGTAAATAGACTGGGAAAAGGCTCAAGAGCTCCCACTAGAATGAAGACTGAAAAACTGCTCTTTCAAAGGCACTTTTGAAATGGAAACAAAAGCAGAACCCAGATGAATGAATGAAGCTCTCTGTGGCAGATCTACAGATCCCAGCTACAGGCAGACTGCAAGACTGCCACAGCTATTACTTGAACTTAAGTTCAATGACCTTTCAACAAAGAATAGTACTTTGTTGGGCAGTCAGCCATCCAGAGATGACATCTGTGCTCAGAGCCACAGGACGCTTTGGTAGGAGATATGAAAACATGAACAGCCTTCCTACAAAGTTTATTTTGTCAATATACAAAAGTACAGAATACCCAGACTGAATGAAAACGTTCAACTAATGAAGCACATGAAAGTTAGTACCTAAACTGAACCTCTAATATCGAAGTGAGTAATGGCTGCAGGAGTATTTAACAAGAACGGCATGAGGATTTGTTCTAAGACTAGAATCTCCATTCTTAACAGTTAGCTGAAGTAACTGCTACAAAAGAAGAGCTTTTTCTTTTATTTTAAATGTGGTCAAGACTGAGTTAAAAAATAGTTTTCCTCCTAAAGGTAATCAGGGTTAGTTATTCCTGATGAATTAGGATTCTAACAGGAGGAAAAAGCCCTATGAGAACTTCCAGAAGCCCACCAGAAGAAAGATTCTAAAAAAAAGATGCAAAACACAAAAGCTTAGTCATGTAAGGCCTAAAAAGATCATGAATGAAACTAATATGAAACTAGCATGATCACAGATCACAGAAATAGAACATTTTTAATGCAACCAACAGTATCCTG